ATTATATTAAACACTTATGACTAATAGTCAATGACAAAAAGTATTTCTCACACACACACACACACACACACACACACACACACACACACACACACACACACACACACACACACACATATAAATATATATGATATATATATGGGATGAGTGACAACCTTGTCAGGACTTACTGATGTCATCCCACTCATGTATGCAATTGTTGTTACTGTTAATCCTCCACCTACTACATATGTTCTGTGCAATGTTCCTCATTCAGTCTTGCTTGACAACGGTATAAGGATCTATACCGAAACGTCGCCTTTACAGTATTAAAGAAGTCTTTATCCATAAATTGGGTCTACTTACTTATTAATAATTAATGATAATTAAGTATGGCTATAAAACAGAGACCTACTGTCCAGTCTCCAGTCAGAATGGCTAATGCTTATGTACGTGTCAAGTTCGTACCAATAGTTCATCAGCCCAGTATTCCAGACACAATTTAAAACCCCAAAAGCGGTGTTTGTAAATTGATGACATTAAAGCTTTCATTACTTGTCGTGAGTTGGGCTTAACGCCGCTTTTAACAGTATTCCAGTTATATCACGGCGTGTCAGTTTAATGTTGGAGGAAAGCCCGAAGTGATGCAGGTCTGGTTTGGTGCTGACAAACCTAGAAACATAATCGGGGCGAACCGGGATTCGAACCCACAATCATAGGTTTCTGGCATGCCCAAGCTAAGGGACGCAACACTGCGCAGGGAATCGCGGCGCCTTGGACGACTGGGCCACCCGTGGCCCCATCATTTCTTGTAAAATGTCATCATGTAACCATTCATGTATTTGTGAACATGCTGATTGTTGTAAAACTAACGATGAAATAAAATATAATTTCTTAACACCCCTTTGTATTATATTTTATATTCATTACAATTGATCTTAGTTTTGTACTTGCAAACATGGTCAGAGACACTACCTGAAACAGACTATAGACAACCAGGCTACAGAAATGTCAATTAACAACTTTGTGACACACTGCTGACACTGATGCACTGGATCTACTTTAAGCTTGCTGAGAAAGAACCGACCATATAACATCCCGTTTCTGTCTCATTTCAAACAGAACATGGAACACGCCTTACGAGAAAAACATACTGAATATTGCATATTGTTATCAACTGTTTCCTGTTACCGCTGATGCGTAAATTCTTCTGAAGTTAAAACGTGCGTCGTGGCATAGCGTCTGGATTTCGTCTTGAAAGTTTAAAACCTGAACCATTCTGAACCAGGCGCCAATCAACTTCTCATTCCCACTGACAATGGATTTGTTGATCTGAATGTATGCGTATTTTCCCACAATAATAATGTGATACAATTATTCAATTTGAATTTCGCTTTATACCATTACTTAGAAATTAAGAAAACATACAACTCTACGGAAAACAACTTTTATTGCATTTTGCGACGTTTCGATGTAGATTCTAACACCGTAATCAAGTGCAGTGAGTGCGACCATACAATACAGATGTATATAAGCAGTACATTAACATTAACAACGTCAGGTAATTAATGAGAAAAGGCACAGAGGTAATTGGATGTGTTGTCAGATGCAAAGTAAGAATAACAAATAACTATATGGTAATGAGACAAGTGTACAATAAGGGTGAGTGAGTGAGTGAGTGAGTATGGTTTTACGCCGCTTTTAGCAATATTCCAGCAATATCACGGCAGGGGACACAAGAAATGGGCTTCACACATTGTACCCATGTCGGGAATCGAACCCGGGTCTTCGGCGTGACGAGCGAACGCTTTAACCACTAGGCTACCCGACCGCCCCGGTATAGGTATAACAAGCTGATATATTCTAATTTAAAAGTGTCCATTGCTTTATTAGGTCTTAATCGGCAGAGGGAGTGTAATTCTCTTCTTGTTGGTCAAATGTTCGTGACGGTTTTCTATGGCTTTTTTTAGTTTTCTTTTTGTAAAGTCCTTGACGACGGGATTTGGACTTTGTCAAACTGAACGTGGTGGCTAAGAATTTTTTGCTGGTCTAATTGGGATGATTCGCAATTTGTTTTGACTTTTGAAGTTTTATGTTTTTTGATTCGGGTATCTACTTGGCTTGACACTTGAACTAAATTATGCACTAGAATGTGATTACAAAGTACAGATAGGTATTTGTTCTATAGACCAGAGAGGGTGTAAACATTGTGCATCTCCATTCTACCAAGAACAAAAACGATGGCTGAACCGAAGTTAATTGTTTTTGGTTTGTCTGTTTTCAATGGTCAAGTGCATACATCGTCTGCTTTGAGAGCGGCAGTTCGGTGGTTCGATCCGGGACCTCGTCAAATCAAGTATTTTAAAAGTTGGTTACACTATAACAACGCACTCATCGATATCCCAGCTATATGATGGCGGTCTGTACAAAATCGACTTAGGACCTGATAAACCAACCTTTCATTGATTTTGTAAGCAACGATCCACGACGTCAAAGAACCACGAAACACATCATTTAAGTCACAAATGAAGTTAAAAATTTGCAAAGGTTTCTGGTCGGAATGAACGATTGTCCAAAAAAACAACTTCAATGACAAAACAGTATTTCATGTATGGCTCTGGGTATGCTCAAGATCAATACGTGTCTCAATACAGCTGCATAAATACATGTACAATTATATCAATATTTCTAATTATACCAATATGCTCACAATCGACATCTATTGATAAAATCAATTAATAAGTAGCAACACAAAGGTTACCAACCACCAGTGAAGTTAACACATTCTCAGGAAAGAATCAAAATGTTGTTCCTCTTGAGAAGAAAGAATATTTACATTCTAACCACAGCTTTCTACTGTGATTTTGTTCAGCAAATCTGATTTCACGTTATATTCAAATTACATTCATAGGTGTATTTTGTGTAAACATATATTTTATTGATGTATGGTGCTGAATGAGTTCCCGTTCGGTAAATTCATTTGCATGTTTATCGGATAGTGGCACCAAATATTTTCAGATCGGTTTATCGCTTCGATCACACGATTCATTATATGATATGAAACCTGTAATGGCCAATCAGAATGGAATATTGTGTGTGTGTGCATCTTCAATTTATCGCATTGTTTCTCAGAGGTAGAAACCATCTCCCAGATGAAATATTTTTGGTACAATATTAGCTGTGCAAAAAGCCTATGATGTGGGTTTCGAGTCCCACGAAACCTGGGCTTGTACGTTTTACTGAAAAACGTTAAAGTCTAAGACCTACAACACGTCGAGTTGTCCCCCCACATCAAGATGACACGCCATGTTGTTATTGAAATATTCCATTTATTTCATCTTGTCTCACAATGGTTTTAATCATATTTAGCTAGATCCATCACAGATTTCGCGTTCAGTGTTTATACCTATACCAAGACAGCGATTTGTGATACCTATGCATATTATTGTCTGGAATAGTTGGATAATTCAACTACACTTTATTTATATAGGTAAATAAGCACTGATAATCACAGGACGGTTTTGTCAAAAGCATTCAGCTCGCCCATTATTTCTAGAAATTGGTCACCGCACTTAGCAGTATTCCATCTTTAAGACGTCGGTCTGTAAATAATCGAGTCTGGACCAGACAATCCAGTGATTGTCATCATGAGCATCGAACCTCGCAATTGGAATATAATGACAAGCATCAACCAAGTCAGTGAGCATGACAACCCTTTGTTGCCTTTCACGACAAGCATAGTCGCCTTTTACGGCAAGCATGGGTTGCTGAAGACCTATTCCACCCCGGAAGCTTCACGGGTACTTACGGCATGTATGGGTTCCTGAAGACCTATGCTCTACCCGGGTCATCACGGGGCCCGTGTACCATAGCATATGTCACAGTAGTAAATATCACCAAAAGAAAATGTTGAAGATAATTTCCACAATAATTTGATGTGTCCAGCATACTTAGACCTGAGTAAAATTACTTACCCAAATATCTCTAAAAAAATCCACCTGTGTATACATTTATTTAATAAATATTTAGTTAGGAGAGGAAAAATATTCGGTTGTTAGGGAAAGTTCTGTATGAAGCCTTGTTATCATGTCCGCAAATATACATCCTCCGGCAAGGAGTCGTCATCTGCTGATTAGTCGCCAAAGACGTCTTTTGATCCATTCGAAAACTTACATGACTTGCAATAAATAATTGTCATGGCACTTTTCAATCCGTGCACAACTGTTAATCTCAAATATTGATTTTGTCAGAAAACAAATTACGCACGAGTTAGCACGGCTGGTTTGTCAAATTAATAATTAACAAATGTAATTCTTCGTTCTAATCAGTATTTAAATGTTAGCTCTGATTCACAATGTATTAATCTTGTATTTTGACAATGTGTTAATCTTGTATTTCTGCAAGATTTTCTTATTTTGAGTTAAAAATATACAAAACACCAATATACAATGGACTTCAACACCTAATCATTTCTTCCAAGGAAACATTGACGTTTTAGTATGTTCTCACGGTGAAAGGACATATGTAACTTTATTTCTGTTTCCGACGCTGTATAAACCGCCTGTGCCGTCAGGTGGATAAAGCGTTTGCCGGATAGGATTGACAGTGGCTCGATACTCTGACAACGTCATTCCAACAGAATGTTACAAGATGGTACTCGATACCCCTGCCTTTCCCTCGGCATTGAGGAGATGAAACAAGGACCGGTTGACTCGGAGTCAGTATACTATTCTGAGTGGCGTACCAATGTTAAACTGCGTCGTGGTATCTTAGGGGTCTCCTTTTAGAAAACCGGATCAGTAAAACGCGCACATACGCACGCGCACACACTCACGCGCGCAGAACCTTTCACGCAATATAAGGCCAATAATCTTAAACCCCATTCACCCTAATCTCACCGAAGCTGTACATGAATTATCAGCAGAAAGCAGAAGACGACAGGCAAAGCAAATATTATATATATATATATATACATATATATGTTCCATGTGAGTTAAACACCTTTCATGGCCGTTCAAAGTTTTATTAAATTAATATGGTCTCTTATGACATGTGTGAGTCAATATTTCTGAAAAGACCGCAATAACCTCAAAAATATTGTTTTCCAATCATTCAGTCATTTTCATACCTGATCCGTTTTTCTCCCTTTAACGATACCTTGAAAATCTTAGATTATTTTTGACCGATATGTTCTTATTATAATCCGAACTGGCAGATAAACACTTTATATTGAAATTTTAATTCATAAATCGAACCTCCGAAACAGATTTAGGTGTCATCACTCGTGCGAACGAACACCCAGGAGATGGTGGTGAAGTCACGACTGGATTTTAAGGTCATTCATTGTCAAAGTGCGATGGTAAAACATTTTCGACAGTGTTTTCTGAGGTTATTTAAAAGAAATACATTTTGAGAGACTTCCCGTGTATGGTCAAACTGTAAAGTTCACATCAAGGTCAACATTGTGAAATATTGTGAAAAACATAACATAGATGCACATTAAATTAAAAAGTGAAAAGATTTGAGAAAATGGAACGAGACTAAATCTCACATTCTCGAACAAAATGAGTGATTATTGTCTTATCCTCTAACACATAGTAGGCTGATGCAGCCACAGTCAGGAGAGTTGCTGCGGTGATGTCACACCTCCCATCTGAGGTTCGCCAATCAGCTGACCGGCAGACAAAGTTGGTTCTGGCTGTACAGTGGTCCATGCACTGTTGTTCTGTCACGCCGGTGTAGGTAGCCATGTTGTTCCCACCGATGTAGAAGCCGCGTACTGTAGTGTAATGACGGCCGTACGCAGTGCAAGCTGTAAAGAGAAGTGTCACCTTAAGAAGCCAAAACGTTTCAGAGAAGATGTTTGTTTGTTTCTTTCTTTAACGCCACACTCAGCAATATTCCAGCTGTATGATCTGTAAATAATCGTGGATGGACCAGAGATTCCAGGGATTGAAAACATGAACATCGATCCGCGTAATTAGTATATGCTTACATGCATCAATCAAGTCAGCGAGTCTGACAACCCGACCCTGTTAGTCGCCTCTTAAGACAAGCAGTCGCCTTTTATTGCAGCGGGTCTTCAGTGAGGATGTTAAAAATGCATTGACACCAGAAAAACTGTGCAGCGATACTGTGACCCTGGACACATGAAATAATTTTATTATTATTTTCTTTTATTATAAGAAAGTCAGCAATGCAAATTGTCAACAAAACAAGAACATTAACATTCAAATACATTCTTCACATATGCTATTATTATATAACACTAGCACTACGGTCGTAGTTACTTGACACATATACTTGTACATACTTGCATTGCAGGACGCCGACTGTGGTGAGAAAGACAGCCCTGGGTCACACATGCACTCGGAGTTGACACAGACAGAGCTTGGCACGGAACACTCTGTGTTGTTCTGACATGAAGACCCAATGAAGCCTAACGCTGAAAGAGAAGAGATTTATTCTTAAGTTTACGTCTGAGGTTTTGTGGCGATGCACTGACCATGTTTCATTCATCACCACTTCAGAAATATTATGCTGCGCTTGTATTTAATGTTTAAACTTGTGGAATTTGGCATTAGTGGAAACGGAAATTTACATGACCGTGAAACTACAAGGATCCAGTGTGAAATTATTCCAAGCGTAACGCAGTATGTGTGGTATTACGCATCCTTTAGCAATAGTCCAGTAATATCACAGCGGGGGACACCCAGGGGGGATCTAACGCGCAGCTTCGGCGAGACACTTTAACCACTTGGCTACCCCACCGCCTCATAACGCAATGTTTGTACTCTTTAAAGCTTATGCATACAGCTCGCATTTTGAAGTATATACAAATAAATACTACTACGTAAAGTCATTTCACCATAGCGAGCCAAATTTAAGCAACACCAATTGTTCCCTCGATATTAATGCAAGATCAGGACGAAAATGTTGATAACTTGCATGACATAATTATTGATGACCGACGACACAACACATTTCACAAAGCCGATACAATGGGCATCTCACATGAGAGAGGGAACATTCTGAGGAATGAATTGGGCTCGACAAAGGTTTCAGAATGCTGGTGACTCCTGATTCTTACCAGGTTCTTGTCGCTCGCGATCACACCACGTAGTATCTCGACTACACACACCCTTTAGTGCAGTGGTCGTCAGGATAATCTTTCTCTTGACCTTTCTCTGACAGTGAACCTCCAAGAACACTGACTTGTATTTCAAAGATAACATGACCACTGAAGGGGGCGAGGCCTCAAACTTCTCTAGTACCATGTACAATGATAAAATACCTCAGACGTTTGGAAAATAGGAACTTTAAAATCTCAATTTTGAACAAAATAATGTGTTTTTCCCCAATGTATTTGCCGAGAGCACTTATCCTGGATAAATCCCTGAAGTCATCTTTCAAAATATCTGATGGTATATAGACTGAAGTGACACAGACGACCATGCAAACCTAACTATTTATATTTTGTCTACATGTGATAATAATGTTGCACCTTGCACCAGCATGTGTACACGCTCATGTATAAGCTCGGCTAACATTAGTTTGTTGAAAGTGCCAGCTAGACGCGGTTGAAAAAGGCGGCCCTGTCGGAAACATTAATTTTCCATTTTGTATGATGCTACGAGCACGAGTAAGATGCAGACTGACCAAGGCTCATAACCACCGTTATCTGGGATTCAAACTCACACTCTAAGATCTGGATCACTTAGAGCTTTATTACCATATGTTTGTTTGTTGTTTAACCCTGCACATTGCGATATTTTGGGGCTTCTTGACAGCACGGTTATACCAGTTCTCTACGGATGAGAAGAATGGGGATATGAAACAATCTCAAGTCTAGAAGGATTTCTGAAATATCTTTTATCATTAAACAATGTGATCTAAAGTTCCTGGTTCATGGGGAACTTGGAAGACTCCTGTTGAAAACATTGGCGTTTCCTCTTTCAAACATACATACAGGACGTGGTTCAGTGCAGAAAGAAGAAGCACTGTCGTACCAATTACTACTCTAATGACCTTGACCTTCAATAAAAAGTTTCGTAAATCTTACAAATTCAATGACCCACTCTAAAGGTGATATGTGCCTATTATTATAAAGTTATCACAAAAAAGTCCTTTTTGACTGTACGACCATGAGAGTGAATTTGACCTTCGATATCAGTAACAAGTATTTTAAGAACATTCCTGAGTGCAATGCACCATGTAAATCAAATATTATGTCCTTTGGTGGACAGCAAAGAAACAATGACAATTTAGCATATTCTTCTTAATGACAGTTGATCACAGTGAATACTAGTAATATCTTAATATTGTCTCCACTGGTCCACTGATATCGTGCCATTGTCATGATTTTAGATAGGTATTCAACTGATATAACAACTATATATTTGAGACTCCTGCAGAAAAATGTATTATCGTGAAAATGGCAAACACACTTTAAGAATTACCTTCACTGATCTTGTCCTTATACCTAAGTTACTTTCAACCTTTTGGAGACAGCTGCGCCAGCCTAAGGATGACATCTGCAGAGTTTCATTGACATACATTGATGGTATTGACGGACTATTGCTAGAAGCGGCGTAAAACCATACTCACTCACTCTTGAGTTATCGTTTTACGTTACTTTTCTTTATGTTATGACCTCGAGAATGCCCTTCAACATTGACATGACCTGTCAATCTGTCAAAAAATGTCCTAGTGCTAAAAAAACTAAAGCGGTCAAATACAGAAAAAAAGATTTAAGCGCGACTTATTTCCATCATTCCACAATGGATAGAAATAAACAACATAGAACAGAATTCCATAAGAAGGAAGTCACATGTTACGAGACCAATTATCACTTCAACAGAAGAAAGTAACCATATTCCATTTTTCAGAAATCAGAATCAAGAAAGATGATGAACTGTTTCATAATATATATACCATTTACCAAAATGTACTTTCCAGGAGTCACCGTATGGCCGAAGTATTGCAGAGGCAATCATGCCTGTCTGTCAGAGAGTTGGTTCCATACATTTTCAGGTAACATGCAGACAAAGGTACCAAATAGGATACGTCGGTCGTCAATGTCATGATGTCCCATGCTGTGACTTTTACAGTTTTCACACCTTCTGATTCACTGACACTTACACTCGGGTTCATTATTATTTTTACTTTGACGCTATGTAATCTGTTTCGGCAGATATTCGAGACTGATTATTCTCTGGCTTTGATTTGTGAATTTGCTGAACACTGGTACGACAATATGACAGCTACGTATTTTCTGTAAATAGTCACCTCTAAATCTGGTTCATTAATACAAGTGTTTGTATTTCGTTTTTAACTCCATACTTAGCCGTGGTTCAGTTATGTTACAGCGGCTTGATATTAATCGAGTCATGGACCAAAAAAATACAGGGATTCAGGGTACGTAATCAACAAATCTTGCTTCCTGACCCTTTATATCAACCCCTGCAATAAGCACTGTTCTACCCAGGAATCCCCATTGCGTGTGACACAAGGTAATACAATGGGTAATGTCGGGAGATTGTGACACGCAATCAAACAAGGACACCATTCAATGCATGACAACGCGAAATAATCTTTCCATTTATTATTATCCGGGGCTTTCTGTCGCTAGTAAAATGATCAGTTATTTTGTCTAATGCATAGGATTACTAATACGTGATTTCCCTCCAGATAACACTCAATCAATACTTGTTCTATTCCTTCACCTTAACCAACGTTTGCATTTGCTTGAATGCATTATGGTGTCATTATTGATCACAAGAAACCATTCTAATTACTTAAAACGTTTAGGTATTTTTCATTTTTTGTATTCGAGCATCTGAGCAGAACTTGTGTGCACTCTGTGGGTGCACAAAGTACAACAAATCTAAGAAAAAGTACGAAGCTCAATATCGACCAGGTTCGGCATTCTGATTTTATGTTTGGTTGATGTTGTTTGTTGTTTTAGGCAACATTCAAGCTACATGTGTATAATCCTAGATAATCAGCACACTAGCTCTCCAGTTTTTATGAGGTACCTGTGCTGGTCGTCAGAGACAACTTAATGAATTGAATGATTTTGTTTCTGCGTGTGGATCGTTGCCCATTCTTTATGATTGACCGGCCATTATCATCTCGCTGGAATATGGCGTTAAACAACAATCAAACATTTTACAGTTCACACATAACGCAGCATGTAGGAGACAATCCATGGTGTTTGATTCATATCGAATTCCTTTCCATAAAATAAAATCTATAAAATATATTCAGATTCGTTGAACTTATATATTGGTTCCATTTTGCAGTTTGGGGACAATAAGGCTATTCGGATAAATCGTCATTAAGTGTAAGATAATTCGATTACTTTTATGTAAAATTCCTCATTAACACTTTTAGGTAACGTCGATAATAATCATAAGACGTGTGACGTAAGACGTGGACGTGTGAGTCCATCAAACCTTCATCATTCTTAACAAAGACTATTTCGTATCGGATCATGAACAGCTTGTAGCATAGAATGTTTATAAAGACCGCTTGTATCACAGAATGTTTATAAAGATAGAAAGGCCTTTTTGTACCAAGTTCATGAAATCAATACATTACCTTACTGACTTGATGCCCAAAACGGCGTTATTTAGTTTCGACTTAATTTTGTATGTTTGTTTGTTGTTTAACGCAACACAGTAATATTCAAGCTATATGACCGCGCGCTCTGTAAAACAGATAGATCCTGGACTAGACAATACAGTGATTGACATCATGATCATCGATCTACGCATAAAGGAGCCGATGACCTTTATCAACAAATTCAACGATCCTGACCACCCGATCCGTTTAGTCTCCTCTTACGACTAGCATATTGGATCGATGACGTGGATCAACCAATCAGCGAGCCTGACCACCCGAATCCGTTGGTCGCCTCTTACGACAAGCATGGGTTGCTGAAGACCAATTCTAACCCAGAATCTTCACAGGACTCTGACAGAAGAGGAATAGCACAATTATCATCAATTACTGTTTAACAACAGCAATATTAATGAAATATACTATAAATTCTTTTCAGCTATTCTTAATCATGAAGTCCCGATGAATGTAAACGAACGTTCAATTCACAGCATCACGTCGGTAAATCCATGTTTTATTCACTGTACTACACGTGCTCCAAAACACTAAATGTGTATGTGTATTGATATAATAATGTACAGCAAGGCAAATCCTTATCGATTCATATGATGGAACAAAGTAAACACATTGGAAGAAGTGTACTTTTTTTCTTCTTTTTTTAAGATTGTATTTCTTTTTGGAAGTGTACTTGTTGCCTTGGAAGCAACTGATGCCATATATTTATGAAAAGTTTCACAAAACACTGAACGTTTTTTGGGGTATACTACGGAAATGAACCTGCTTCTCTGCTGAAGTTAGTTCTATTGCTACTAGGGAAACGCAAAAAGGTACAACGGCACTGTAGCTGTGAAGTTAAACCAACAGTGAATTTCAACAGATTTGAGCAAAATCTAATGTCATCGAAAGACGAAACACACATGTATAGCTTCCTCATGTAGAATTTTCAAAGAATATGTGTTAAAATCTAAAAATGTCATTTATGAAAAGATGGCAAATGTCAAACTCGAAAATTTCGTAAACACCTTGAACATTTATGGTTCGTTCTCACTGCAGATAATTAAAAGTGACCAAACTCTTGACGTTAGGTGCTCCACTGGTGCAACCGGTCGCTAACACATACAAAGCGCAAGTACAAGTTTAACCCGAACAAACACGGAAACATAATATGGTAAAATAGGGAATTGCATCGAACATTATTTTTGTAACTGATGCGTAAAATTTGGAAATGTCCTCCACATGTCTACCATAGAACTTGTTGAAAGCTTTACTAAAGAACGTTTATTATTTATAACATCGTCAACAAGCGAATCATGAAGCTTAACACACAAAAGTGAAAAGAGAAGTGACCGATACATAATTAATTCTTAACTGCCTATCGGCGGACTCATCCGTACATAGATCGTAAAACACGACAGTTGAATTAATAGATAGACATCGTGAGTGAGTGAGTGAGTGAGTTAAAGTTTAACGTCACATTGGCAATATTTCAGCCATATCGTGACGAAACAAAATTTGACATTAACAAGATATTTTAAACTGTATAAAATTCTGCCGACGAAGGGCAGTATAATAACTAGAATATCACAGATTAACATACGACTAGTTAGAGAGCATGTAAAACTATATTATCTTTTTGTAACACAATATAAAAACA